TTATTATGTAAATGTATAATTATATTAAGAAAAATTAAATTAAGAAGAAAAATGTTTGTTTTCTGAACAAACAGATGTGTTGAAATAATCTAAGAAACCATACCTCAAACTCCTCTTCCATTATTGTGGGCTCGCTGTCGGAGTTTTTCTGTTTGAGCAGGCTCAGTGTGTTGTGCAGCTCCGACAGGGGGATCTCAGTCTCTCCAAACTGGTTGTGGTCCACCAGAGCCTGGTGGATCAGGACGTACTGGGCCTGCTCCACGACACGTCAACATTTATTAATACATAAAAGAGCAGTTTGCACAAAATATACTGGTTTCTTTGCTGAGTTCATTTCATGTCTGACCTGATTAGATCTAATTTAGTGTCAAATTATGYAATAAATTAAGCTATTTTTGTTCTTATTCCTACATAAATAAAGATAATAACATGACATTTTTAATTTAAACCAGCTAAATCAGCTCAGTCGGTTTATTTATTTTTAAATTTAACAGTAAATGATGCCAAATGCAACAAATTATGTAAAAAGTTCACAATTTTAATACAACACAGATAATTCACACAATTTGCACAATTTATTTATGGAGTATAAATATTTGGGTCAACTGTAGCTGTTTGAAAAGCACTTTATAATTAAATTAAATTGGGTTTAATGGTAATATTGTTAAATCTCTCTATGTGTTTTTTTTATATTTATTTACTTTTTTTTTTTTACCTCAACTTGAACCATGAGACATCTTTGTCTGCGGAGTCTGACCACATAACCGTAGACGTCCACTCTGCCTTCTGCTTCCAGACCCTCCATCATGGCATCGATACCGATGTAGGTACCAGTTCTGCCCACGCCCGCGCTGCACAGAAACAAATCATTCATCATACATGCAGACATTTATGTAAAGCTGCACTGGAGCGCCAATACAGAAAAGCAGAAGCTGGTAATGAAATGTGTTTATAAACCATTAAAGTACATGTGACATCATATCCTTCAAATGCAAAAAGTCAAAGAAAACATTTATGTTTAAGAAATTTGACATACTATGACTTTACCCATTTTGTAACATGACTGGCATATTTTATTTAGAATTTAGCTCAGCGAAAATGAAACAGGAAGTGACATCAAAGGGAAACTTTTTAAGAAAGAAAATTATCTGGTCTTTGTTTATT